TGTTCCACCTCTCCCTTTTTTTCTAGAGTATGAACCCAATCACTTTTCTAGTCCTTTTCAATTACAAAGAGTCATATTGGAACTCAAAATGTTAACTCTGCTCCTCTGTCCACAGATGCTGCTAGAACTGCTGAGATTCTCCAGCCACTTTCTATTCTGATATTAGATCTGTAGTCTAAATCTCTTCCAGCCCATCTCCCCCAGAAGTGTCCATAAAATTCACTTCTGTGGCGGCATTTTAAAGCATCGTAATTCTTTGCTAACCTAATTGTAGGTTTGACTTTCTCCTTCAGTTAACTAGTGGATGTGGGTACCATTACAATGCTTAAAAGACATTTGAATAAGTACATGAATAGGAAAAGTTTGGAGGGATATGGGCCAGGTGGCACTAGTTTAGTTTGGGATTATGTTCAGCATGGACTGGTCAGACTGAAGGATCTGTTTCCGTACTGTATGATTCTATGACTCTACGGTGAAGAATAGAAACAGAGCCAATATTTACACATTGTTTTATTTATTGAGTTACACAATACAAGCAGACACCTCCTAACCTGACAATGAGTTTTAATCTGTGTTTTTTGCATGGCACCTCAAGAATTTGGGGTGTTACGGTGGCTCAATGGTTAGCACTACTGCCTCACAGCGCCAGGGATCTGGGTTCACATTCCACCCTCAGGCAACTGTCTGTATGGAGTTTGCACATTCTCCCCGTGTCTGTGTGGGTTTACTCCGGGTGCTCTGGTTTCCTCTCGCAGTCCAAAGATGTGCAGGTTAGGGTGGATTGGCCATGCTAAACTGCCCATAGTGCCCAGGGATGTGTAGATTAGGTGGGTTTTGGGGCATAGGTCTGAGTGGGATGCTCCAAGGGTCAGTGTGGACTTGTTGGGCCGAAGGGCCTGTTTCCACACTGTAGGGATTCTATGCTAAGAATTTCCACTTTATGCCCACTACCTGCATATAATCAAGCATAATTAACATGTGGCTTCTCAATATCAACCTTTACCTATGGAATGTCTATGAATATTCTGTATATGGACTTCTATAAGACATTTGATAAAATTCCACAGGAAAGATAAATAAAAATGAAATTGACAAAATTAATCTGAGGGGAGACAAGGAGAATTTTTTTTCTTTTTATGCAGATTATGGTCTAGATATCATAGATGGAAATGGATTGAGTAATAAATTTCAGAAGGGGATTGGTTATACATTGGAGAATGAGCAGAGATTGGGACTAATCTGATATCGCTTCAAGAGGAGGTATAAGCACATTGGGCCTAAGGCGTCCTGTCCTTGAAAATGTTATGGCTATATGTGTGTTATTGCCAATTTGTGTGGGTTTTGTTGGGTGGCCTCATAAAGAGCTAGATCAAATAATTATATTTGGATGGTTACAGCCAACTAGGCAGAGGATACTATTCTATTGACCATGTTTGTTTATTCATAATAAAATTATTGAAGATAGGGATAAAATGAATAAGCATTTAAGGTCTGGTTGGTGAAACTGGAAGTTCTTTGGTGTGTTGTGTGACAGAAATGTACTAAAGAAACTGGAAGGAAAAGCCTATAAGTCAATTGTGAGAATGGCAGAAATTTAGCCAAAATCTGGAAGTGGCGATCAATGATTGGATTCGAATGCGATACATTGAAGGGATGTGCAAAGTTACAAGAAAGGGGAAGATCAGGCATGTGTTGGTGGAGGTGGGAGAAGAGGGTCAATGAAGACTGTGGGAGCTCTTAAGAAAGTGGCTGGGAAGAGGTTGAGGTAAGATGGTGCTCTGTTGCAGGGACACAGAGAGTACCTGTGATGGGGCATGTGATGAAGATGAGATAATGAGGAAGAAGGGCAAGATAAAGGTCTAAGGACAGATGGAAAGATGTGGGAGCAAAATAAAAACTTAAATACATTGAGATTAGTAGAGAAATGGGTAACTGGGGGCAATGGAGAAAGGTGATTAACCAGCATTATGGTGATTACTACGTAAAATGGGAAGAAGTGAGAGATGAGGGAAAAGATATTGTTAGATGTGGATTGGATCTGGTGGCAGAAGGTGTTTGATGAGGCTGTCAGGAATATGCTCAACTGGATTTGGCAACCTAATCTAATCAACTGATCCATTCATTCCTACCCACAAGGGGTTTGTCAGCATATTTTGTTGAAACTTTTTTTCTTTTATTCACTTGTGGGATATAGGCATTGCTGGCTAGTCAGTATTTATTGCCCATCCTTAGTTGCCTTTGAATTGAGTGGCTTGCTCGGCTATTTCAGAGGGCAGGTGAGATTTGGAGTCAGATGTAGGCCAGGCCAGGTGAGGATGGCAGATTTCCTTCGCTGAACGACATTAGTGAACTAGATGGGTTTTCCCAACAATTGGCAATGGTTTCATTGTCATCATTCAACTCTTAATTCCAGATTATTATTGAATTCAAATTCTACCGTTTGTGGCAGGATTTGAACCCAGGTCCCCAGAAGTTTTGGATTAACAGTTAAAGCGATTATACCCCTAGACCGTCACCTCCCCTTGTTATTACCTAGATTTGTTTGCCTCACATTAGGTGAAACAGATATACTTTGCCAAGTTGTATTTTAATTCATTTACAACTTGTTATCCGTGGTTCAGAAAGATAACTCATAAATTCAGCACAAAAAAAGAAAAATATCTTTATGCAGCTTTATTAGACATTATGCATTTTCTCAATATTTCTTGTTACAAAAAAAGCCTAAGCCTGTCTTTCCAGTAATAATAAGTCAGAAAGGTTATACAGGTTTTCAATAAACCAGAACATAATTTCTATATTGCCACAGCAGCTTCACAAGATTGTACAAAAATATGAGCCACTTCATGAATACTCTACATAATTTATATCATAAAACAAAACAGAACTGATCACCACTCCAAATGAATCATGGTAAGACATTGACAGGTCAATGGACAATCAGCTTTATTGAAAACGGTAATATGAAATTTATTTTAAATTTGGAAAGAAAATCAAAGTAGTCAATTGTCATTTTATGGCAAACTTACCAATGCTGATTGAAGAATATCCATAAAAGATCTTCAAGGTAATCTGTTCATCAGGCTCTTTAATGTTGTTTGAATACTCCTGGGTCTATTATGCATGTCTCTCCCACTAGGTCAAGTGCTTATTGTCCAAGTATCGTACGGCTTACTGTCTGTTTTCCTTAGGACCACAGAAATGACCCATCAAGGACAAATGCAAATACATAGGAGTGAGTCGGGTGACTCAGTGCCACGGAGTCCTAAATTCTGACATCCATTAGGTCCAATACCAAGGAGACGTTGGTGGAGTGAAGTATTGTTTTTTTCTGAGGTGTCATCAATAATTCTGCGCATCTGGCCTTAGACTTCCAGTGCTCATAGGGATGCCTTCATTTTGCTGAGGACATTTTAACTTTTCCCCTTAAATCTTCTACCCGTGGAATTTCCTTCCTTAGCACCAGCAAAGGCGACTCTGAAGCCATCACAAACCATTTGATTAAATGCATGTGCAAAAAAAAAAGTCTCTCATGTTGTAGAGATTGACTGTTTCACCAGGCATCAAAAGCTTACAAAAGTTTACCAGGGGGTTCCTGATTTACAGTGCATAAAATACTCAAGTGAAGACACCATTTGAGTAATCAAAAACACTCAAACAAGAACAAATCACATCATTGGAAAATCCACTTGCACACATACCTAGATCTATAAATAAGGTTCCACTTTGGCTAGTTAAATACAAATACCTTTGCTGAGCATTTCTTGTCCATCAGAGTGACCACAAGCCCTTATTACAATACAAACATGTTTGTAGAATAATGCAGAAAAGATACAAACTAGTTTTGAAATTCCAGAGTGTCAAAATTCACACAAATTTTTTTGGGATATCAAAACTTCAAAGCATTATCAAGCTCAGGAAGCAAGATTTCCTTTTTTCCCTATGTCATTATCTTTTAAAATGCTGTTTTCAAAGCACATCAATTGCTAAATGTTAATCATAGTAGATCAGAGGAACTTCTGGGCGACTAATTCAGAAGTCAAAAGGTACTGTGCAAATGAGTAAGATATTGTATTGTAGTGCAGGACAACTTTACAATTAAGACTACAAATGCCAAGGAGAGGCTAGTTTAAAACTAAATCTGATTCATTGATAATTCTAGAGATTTTTAAAAAAAGTAACAGAAAAACAACTTTACATTTTAATTCCAAAAAATATCAGCTCATAAAAAATTATACACATTGATGAAATCATTAATGCCTGCAGTATAACATTCTCAGTACCTGGTGCTAGTTTAACAATGTAGTTTGCTTTTAAAACCATTTCGCCCTCTCACACCTTTCTATTTATGCTTGGAAGACAAAGCTATTATTCAAACAACAATTGTTCTGCAATTTTAAGAGTATTTGCAAAGCAACATAAGAGATATAACCTTGAAATGTTAGAAAAATAGCAATTTATACATGTTGGCGAGGCAAGGCAATAGCTTATTTACTTGGCTGGGTCCTGTGAAATGATCCAAAGCTTCAGATTGATATGAATCTTCCACCTTTGTGAGAGTAAAAATGTATACATTCTACTAATAACCCAGTGAATTAAAGATTCCTGACATATTGCATATCTTTGCAGATTAAAAGTTAGAATGAAATAAGATTAATTAGTTCGAATCAGGTAACATACGAGGCATAATTTTATACCAAATCTTATGCTCCTTTCATTTGTAAAAGGCTATTCATCACTCTAGATGACTAGTCCAGTGGTTCAGTGGTTAGCACTGCTGCCTCACAGTGCCAGGAAGCTGGGTTCAATTCCACCCAATGGGGTGACTGTCTCTGTGGAGTTTGCACGTTCTCCCAGTGTCTGCGTGGGATTCCTCTAGGCGCTCTGGTTTCCTCCTACAGTCCAAAGATAAGTAGGTTAGGTGGATTGGCCATGTTAAATTGCTTGTAGTGTCCAGGGATACATAGTTTAGGTGGATTAGCTGTGGGAAATGCAGGGATACATTAGTGGCTGGTAGGTCCGGGCGGGATGCTCTTCGCAGGGTCAGTGTTGACGCAATGGGCTGAGTGGCCTGCTTCCACACTGTAGGGATGCTATGATCCTAATTCCAGACTCTGTAATTGGTAGGAACGAGGGTTTGGAGGAGGACAAGAGGGAGGTCAAGATAAGGGTCTGGACCTTTACTCCAGACTTGCAAAACTTTCTAACGAACAACAGTTTAATCAAGCTGTTAAAAAAAAGGAGGATGCTTTTACTTCAGCAGCTCAGTACACTGTAGCAGCTAGATGCAACTTCTATGTCTAAAAAGATGAGGCTAACTCTAACAGACATGTTTTATAAGTTAGAAAATGCATACGCATGCTTGGTGTAATATTTGAAAACTATGTACAACCTCAAAGACGAAAGGTTTCCAATGTTTCAGCAACAGGTACACATTTTCCTAAATTTACTACAGTCAGCAGTTAAAGCGCACTTTGTCTGAAGTATTGTTCTATTGTGCCTTTATTCACAGCACATCCTATGATTCGGAATATTTTTCTTTCAAGTCCAAGGAGATTTAATGCTGAACCGAAACAATCCTTTGCAAGAGCTGATCTTCAGTTATCTACATCTAGTTGTTAACTCCTCATCAGCTCAAATCTCTGGATTCATGCTGTTTTAAAAAGGAAGAGGAATGGCATCTGACTCCCACTGTTTCTGCCCATTGGAGTGGTTTGTTAGATGCAGAAACCGGTGTTTCTATGCAGAAGCATTGATTGTCCTTGTTAATGGCCACCTGAACTGGGTGGGTTGTGAATCCAGTCAATGACGATAAGAGTCATGCTTCCAATCATAAAGATTATGCCGATGATAAGGAAAATCATAGCCTGGAAAACATGAGGCACAGAAAAAGAAATTAACATTTAATAAATTTTTGCAACTTAGACCTAAAAACGGCTATTCATTCGTTCAAGTGCCAATAGTGATTGTACATTTCAACACAAAATGAGAAACTATTGTGGGATTCCCAACTAATGAAATATTTTAGAAACTAGTACAAGACTTGGGAATCGATACAGGAATCTCCAACCTCAATGATAGGAGGGGCTTCATCACTTTAGCAATTCGTCATCTGGCAAGTAAAAACTACAGAAGGCTGCAGAGGCCAAGTGTATTTAAGAAAGAGTTAGATAGGATCTTAAATAGTAAGGGGATCAAGGATAAACAGGGAGAAGACAGGAGAATGAGGTTGAGAAACATATCAGAATGCTGGAGCAGACTCAATGGGCCGAATAACCTAATTCAGCTCCTATATCTTACGCTCTTAAAGGATGTGTTTCTTTAAGATCCTTCAAGATCTAGAAGAGACGTTACACATTTCTGCATTCTGTGGACATTAAATCACTGCTATCTCAGGGAGTGAAGGAGGAATTTGGCGTATTACCCAGCTACAGTGAGTGAGGTATGAAGTTAAATTACGGTCATAAATTTTGAAAATGTGCTCCTAGGTGTTGAAATATTGGTCTGTACAACTCATGACTTTCAAAGTTACCCTAACAAATTCATCATAAACTATTTCGGTTGGTATCATTTACTGACCCCAATCTTTTGCATGGATTTCATTGATTCTTTTTTCACGAGTCTGATGTAACAGGCTGAAGGGAGTATGAAGATAAGCATTGTAGCTGCAGATGCACCTAGAACACAGGCCAAAAAAAAATCAAAATTAAATGTCTTCACGCTTCACATCTGATAAAATGCAATAACATAGCACTAGTCACGTAGCAGTACCCATGAGCTTACCTATAAACCCAAAAATATCCCGAATGTTTGGAACAAATATCACAAGAAGGTTGTCTAAAATTAGCAGGATTGCTCCAATTACAATATGTCGTATCCAGTTGAAGGACCGTCTTGGACATATCAGTTCCTGAATCGATGTTCGGATCTGTAGAGATGAAATATGATGAGCAAAATGTTTCAAACATTTTGCAAACAATGTAACATCGCCGCTCACCCACATCCCTAAAAATAGGCTTAGGGTTTGGGTTCTGTTGGCCTTGTAACAGAAGAATAAAAATTTTGCAGTACTGCATTTCTGATCTACACTAGTTCATTTTCAGTGTCAGAAACATGACGATGCAAAATTTCCTGCACTTATTTAAAACATTCAAAGGAAACCTTTCCTAAATAAAATCAGACTTGGCATACTGAATGCAACTTTGCCTCGATGCTTTTAGCATGTAAGCCATTAAATGAGTAGGAGGTTATCTACTTCTGTAGCAAAAACAGGAAGGCAAGTTATTATCTGAATGGCAATAGATTGGGAAATTGGAAGCTGCAATAGACCTGGGTGTAACCCAAATGAAAGTGAACATAGGTGAAGACGACAAATGGCCTTCATAGCGATAGGATTAGAGTACAGGAGCAGGGATGTGTTGCTGCAATTGTACAGTGCCTTGATGAAACCAACTGGAGTATTGGTCTCCTCATCTGAAGAAAGATGTTCTGGCTATGGAGGGAATGATACAAAGGTTTACCAGACTGATTCCTGGGACGGCAAGACTGAATACAAAGAGCGGCTGGATCAGTTAGGACTTCATTCACTGGAGTTTAGAAACTATAAAATTCAAATAGGACTTATAGGGTAAATCAGTAAGGATGTTCCTGATGACTGGGGAATTCAGAACTGGGGTCACAGCCTAAAGATATGAGATAGGCCAAATGGGATTGAGGTGAGGAGAAATTTCTTCACTGAGAGAGTGGTGAGCCTGTGGAATACTTTGCCACAGAAAGCAGTTGAGGCCAAAACATTGAACGTTTTCAAGAAGTTAGATATAGTTCTCAGAGCTAAAGGGAACAAAGGGTATGGGGAAAAAGCGGGAATGGGTATTGAGCTGAATGATCAACTTTGATGATCCTGAATGGTACAGCAGTTTGAAGGGCTGAATGCCCTGCTTCTGATTCTAGTTTATATCATGAGACTGCAAGAGCATCTAAAATCTAAAAACAACGGTCATATTCCACAGGTTTCATGAAAAGATCATAGTGGCAGAAGTATTCATGCTTTTAGTGAAAGTGAATGCATTGGGGCAGGAATATGTCATCTACTCCTTGGAATGTGCTCCACCATTCAATAAGGTCATGGCTGATTGGTGATCTAACTCCCTATATTTGTCTTTATTCCATATCGCAGAACACTTCTGGCTAACAAAATAAAAATCAATCTTAGGTTTTAAAGTTAACAACTTATGTTGTGTTAATTATTGTTGTGAAAGACAGTTCCAAATTTCGACTACAATTTGAAAATGTGTGTCTCCCTTCTAAATGGTCTTGCTGTAATTTTTGAAGGAGGCCCCAGAGTGCCCACTGGTGGAATATCTGTGTAACAAAGTTGTCTTTCATAATTGACAGAAGTGCTATTTCCTGGATCTGAACATTTATTTCAGATAAGCATCAAAGGGATTGTGGAGTATTGTGTATCCTAAAATTCTGTAGGCACTCTCCTGATCTCTCAGTGGAGGTATGGCAGGAGAATAGCCACAAAATTTCAGAAGGGAAGATACCAAACCCATTGTTCAGTGGTTTTGTAGCTGATTAATAAGAGAATGGGATACTGAGAGATTTGACAGCATACCTGGCTTTAAGTAAATAAAAAAAAGTTAAAATTGTGAGTGACAGGTTTCCCCACTTGTGCAGATTAGGAGACTAAATAAAGCCTTGTATGCAGCGTAAAGATAGCACTGAACTTTATTTGAACCACCTAATAGGAATACCAATGTGAAGTCTGAAGCAGTGGAATGAATCAGTTGTAATGAATACACAGGAATACACAGCGCAAAATAATTTAAGTACAGCAGTAGCTGCTGGCATAAAGGAAAATATCTCAATGCGGACTGAGAAGACATTTTTGTCTGTTGAAGGCTATGGTGGTAAAAATGAAGTATTTTGTTTTGGGATAACTAGTGCCCTTTAGAATAAATAGCATCCTTTATATATAAAATTGCAAGCACAAAAAAGTTGCTTACAAACTTTTTGACTCCTCTAAGGACAGACTCGATGGTATTCACTAACTGTTGCTCTCGTTTTGAATGTAAATTACGAAAAAGATGGCTAAACATTGTTGCATAATGATGATGTTTCTCCATTTTAATAATTCTAGCCAGGTAATTCTCTTGTTAGAGTAGCACACTACCAAATTTCATTCTAACCTTTTGAGCAGTTTATATGTTAATGTACCTCTTTTGCAACTTCAACACAATTGTTTTACAACTGAAAACCTAAAATTGCCCTTCTTATTCAGATACAACTGAGTTAGAAAAATGGTTTACTGTTGAAAACTGTAGAAGCATGACTGAATAAACAAGAACTCTGCAGTAGATTTGAATCTTCCATTTTAACCCCAACCCCCTCAAAAGTATTGGCATTTCCCAATGATGAACTCACCACTCCAACAATATCCCATTTAAAATCAATGCATCCTTTGTGGCCTATAGTATTTCAGTATCATTCATTGCTTCCCCAAAGTGTTTAACTGTCTCTCCTTCATAGCCCACTTCTGCTAAACCTCTTCGTGTGTCTTCTGCTGTTACCTGTCCAATTATAGCCAGTGAAATACAAACATTTTCTCTCTGCCCCTCCTCGAGTGCTCGAAGTTCCTTGGCCTCCTTCATTTCTTCACTTTCAAATTGCTCTTTGTTTGGAGTCAGTTTCCACAAGCCCATTGTAATCATCTAGCTTGCCCTTTCCACCATCCTGTCTGCCCTTGCTGCATGACATAAATTTGTGGACAGGACCAGAACTCCATTTGTGGCAACTACTCCTCTCTCACCGAGGGTGAGAAGACGGAAACCATTTTATTCAGACTTGAGCTGCCATTCAGTCTTTGCTGCTGACAGCCCCTCAGGCTTTGCTGCTTACCCAAGTCAACCTCAGTATCAGACCGCCACAGAATCCAATCCTCTACCCATTCGCCGTCTTGTTTCCACCTCTGTGTTATCAACCAGGTCTGTTCTTACCCACACATTTGTTTTTTCTCCTCAACTGCTCCAATTGATCCACTCATGAAACAAGCTCGATGAAGAGTCGTGTAGGTTTGAAACATCAGTTTACTTTCTCTCCATGGATGCTGCCTGATCCGCTGTGACCTCCAGCATTTTTATTTTCACTTCATAATCTCTAACTTGTCTAAAACTATGCTTCCCCTTTCAGTGCAGCTCACCACATCACAACCAATTTTTATCTTGGACCCCAAGTGACCCCTCAAAAAATTTCCTTGGTTTCAGACTCTCCAAACATTGAACAGCTTCTCGTCCCAGCTTCTGCCCTCTCATGTTGTACTTCTGGACATATCTTCCCTGTTCCAAAGCATTTAGTTGTAAAATTCCCTTTCTCACCCTCAGCACCTTAGAGCTTCCCTTGACTATAAAAGTCTATATCACAAAATATCCTTTTATCATCCATGCTTCTAGTTATCTCTCCTAACTCCTAACTCTCATCATCCATTTAAACATCTGGTTCCAATTTCTCTGCTGCATACAGACATTACTCGGTAAAGGTATTACTTTATCCTAGGTGGTTGTTGCTTTATGAAGCCTGTATTTCTCCTAATTAAACTCAAGACGATGCCCACTCAGAACTGGTTGTTCTCGTGAATCATGTGACATGGTGTGAGAACAGAGTTCTTCTGGCAATGAAGAAAAGGCAGAATTCAAGGAAAGCTTCAGCGAACTTATCCTGAAATACTATCAGCTTTTTCTGACAAAGTGTGCTACAACAAAACATTGATTTAATTATTGTTGCAATTTTGCAATTTCCAATTTTTTTAAGTAAATGACAGCAGGCCATGCCAGTAGTTTATTACCTATTTTATGTTTAAATCCTTAAAGACTATTTAGGTCACAATCTGACTTGCTAGTCTACTAGCTCAGTGTAATGCTTTTTGAAGAAACATCTGAAAAAGTGTATAAGGGATGGTTGTTATAAGGAACAGGAGAGTAGGCTAGTAAGCAATGTTTCAAAGATGAGGGCAGTCAATAACATCTTAAAATGATCCGATTTTGTGATAGAACTGCAATGGTTCTGAGAAACATTACAGTTAAACTCACTCCACATTCTGCCTTATAAGCCCCAATTGGAAGAACCACTCTCACTAATAAGATCTCAGATCCTACAGCAAAAAGATCTATAACATCGTCTTCGCAGATCATGTGACAGTAGGTAATGAAGGAGCCTTCTGGTAAAAGTTAAAGTCTGCACGAACAAAACATTATATAATGGTCCAGATTGCTAAAGGTTCACCTTGTGGTACTGTTGTCACACACATTTTAATCTTTGTCCACGACAAGACCCCTTATCAGATGCTAGTCTTTTCTATTTTGAATGAATTATTCCAAAGCAAGTTGATTCTGTTATCATGCAAATGGGATAATTAACAGTACCAATATCAGTTTAATTTGTTTCATTAAAGGTCATTGTAGAATTAAGATTAGAAAGTTCATACAGATGTCATTCCCATTAGGCTGAACATATTTATTTCTAGGATTATGGATGGATTTTGCAAATAAATTAAAGCAAATTATAAATGAAGGTTAGTTAATCAAAAGCACCTTTATTTTGTCAGTGTTGAGAAAATTAAATGCTTTTCTTTGTAAAGCTGCCCTAAGTTATGTGTAGCAGAGCTGTGTAATCCTTCTGCTCAATTCAACATCAGTAGAGTACTTGGAATAGGAATTCCTGTGTTTCCCACACTAGCCATGTTATATTCTTGGGGTGATATTACAGCATTGTTCCAAAGTTACAGTTCATTAACACTCAAATCTATTTCATATACACACTGCCTCACCACCTGAAGCAACTTCCATCCCATCCGCTTTGGCAGGATTTGAATCAAGGATGCAGGATAATGTGTTACTTCTGGCCAGTCCACAAACAAATAGGGCTTTTAATGGCTACATGGTTTTGCTAATCCCACAGTAACTGACCAGGAGACAAGTAACTAGAATGGAACATGATGAATGTCTGCAAGGCTAGAGGCGTTCTCTCAAATTGTGATTTGTTTTAAGAATGTGAAAGGAAGAGGAATATCCAAGGACTCTCCAAATATCGTGGCTTTTAGAAACGTCTGAAAAGTAATGATTTATGAAGTCTAAGCTACTTAAAGAATAAAGAACAGTACAGAACAGGAACAGACCCTTTAGCCCATCAAGCCTGCAGTGACACATGACACCTATCTAAACTAAAATCCTTTTGACTCGAATGTGGTACATATCTCTCTAAACCCCGCCTATTCTTCTATCTCTTAAATGTCTCTTAAACTTTGCTATTGTATCTGCTTCTACCACCTCCTCCGAAACATATTTCAGGCACTTATCACTCTTTGTGTAAAAAACAACTTCCCTCACATCTCCTCTAAATCTTTTCCCTTTTACCTTAAACCTATGTCCACGAGTAATTAACATTTATATTCTGGGAAAAAAAAACAGACTATCCATGCCTCTCAGAAGTTTATAAAATTACAATCAGGTCACACCTCATCCTTCAACATTTAAGTGAAAGCAAAGCAAGTTTCTCCAATCTCTCCTCATAGCTAATACACTTCAAACCAGGCAACATCCTGGTAAACTGTTTGATAGTCCCTCTCGTAGTGTGGTAACCAGAACTGGTCGCAATATTCCAAATGTGGCTGTACTGAAGTCCTATTGGCTGCAACATGACTTGTCAATTTTTATATTCTACACTACAAACAACAAGGATTCCAGCTCTGATCCTCGCAGCACACCATTGGTCATGGATTTCCAGTCAGGAAAATAGCCGGTTCTGTATCCATCTTACCAGCTTACTGTAGATCCCATGTGACTTCACCCTCTCCCCGCCATGAGGGACCTTGTCAAAAGTCTTGTTAAAGTCCATGTGGACAATATCTATCTCCCTGCTCTCATCTTTGTCGCTTCCTCAAAAAATACAAACCAAGTTTGAGAGACAGGACTTCCCACGCACAAGGCTATGCTGCCTGTTGCTAATACATTTATATATATTTCATTCTGTCTGACTGCATTTTCTAATGATATCACTACACACCATTTATCATTGAAGTATATTTCCTGCATTTAAACACTTTACCTCCTCAGCAAGTAATACTTATGATCAAGAATATTTCTTTCTTGGTCTCACCATCTATATGCTGCATTTAACTCTGTAATTAACCTACATGCCAGTGACCACAATTCTAAAGACATCCATTATTTGTAAAACATATTTGGTCAGCGTGATAATAGATGGCATTATAAAAATGCAATTCTTTTCTTTACAGTGGTGCTTACACTAACAAACCCACTCTGAAAGAATTTATTTGAATATCAAGAACAAAATCATACTTTAGAGATAACACAGTGTGGAGCTGGAGGAACACAGCAGGCCAGGCAGCATCAGAGGAGCAGGAAAGCTGGCATTTCGGGTCGGGACCCTTCTTCAGACCCAGCTCCACACTGTGTCATCTCTGACTCCAGCATCTGCAGTCCTTGCTATCTCAAACTTTAGAGATCCTGAAATCAAACATGTTCAGCCTAACCTAGCATCGTAGCAAACAGGAGAAAGAACATAGAACATAGAACATTACAGCGCAGTACAGGCCCTTAATGCTGCAGTTTAGCAATGCTAACGTATACTTAAAGTGAGACAGATGTCAGTAAATCATAAAAAGTTCAACGAGTTTTATCCAAGGTGGAGTGAACAGTAACATAGGCTTGTCATCATTATGAAAACCTGGGATTGCTAGAATGAGGACGATTGTGATGCCTTATTTGGCTTACCCGGAATTCCCAAGCTGAAGTGAGCTGGCCTGCAGGCCTAAAGCAGAAAGTTGAAGCTGCCAGCATGAAAAACACAAGCCACCACCGTGGCTGACCCTGGCAAGAAGCGCAAGAAAGAGATTTGAAGAGTCAGTGCCCTTCACACCTGTTGGATCAAACCAGAGTGAGAACTCACATAAACACCTGTCAGGACAGGCCCAAACAGCCAGATTCATTTAGTCATTAATCAATTATAAAAAGCTTCCTTGCTAATGTTCTCTTTTCCTTAAACATTCAGCTGCTAGAAAACAAGCAACCACTTGTTGCCAACAGTTTCAGTTTGTAAACTGAACAGCACAATTTTATCCAATTTATTTGCTTCACACTAGGGAAAATGCTCTTCAATGTTACTACTCATTATTGGTTCAATAAGGTTTATAAAAATATGCTTGATGTTATTTTTCAGAAAGCTAGATCTGATACACAGATGAGATGTAACTGTCCAGAACCACCTCACGCTCTGGCCAGTTTGAAGATGTTAATTGTTTTGGAGGGAGGGGACAGTCTGAGTCAGAACGGTGAATGAATAAAGAAAGCTGCAAATTTGAGGTTCAATCCACCACTGCCTGACCCTGGGAAAATACACTGCTAGTGAAGGGAGTGAGTTTTTCAAAGCTCCCAGAACGGGCTTTATTAAAATGGACCTGCTCGGAATCCATGGAGGCTCCTCCATGTCACCAGAAAGGCAAGAAACCCCAGCAGATTTTAACGAAACACAATTAATTGTCAAGCCATATTTTTATAAGTATTCAAGAATATTTTGAAAACATTTACACTTCACAAACTTCCTTTAGCTTTAAACATCTCTTATTATAAGCCTGATCCCTCATATTCTAATTTAAGAAAAGATTTCTACTGCATATTATAGTTATTAAGTAATATCAACTCAAATGTTAACAGCTAGTAACGCATAAGTTTACACAGTGAAGAAGAAACTTCAATGAATTTCCTTGGTATAGGACAACTTACTGAACACATGCTATTATTTTCTAGGTTAACAGTTCGTACTATTGCATCCAACTCACACTGTAGTTTGTAAATTCAGCCATTATTAGATACTCAGGGTAAGGGAGAAGGGAGGGGGACAGTGGGGGCTTGGTGAGAGGAGCCGAGTGGAGAGGAGGCCCAAAAAGTTTCCTGGAGAAGGGGCCTGGAAAAGTAAGCATTCTCCCACTAGAGTCAAGGTTAGGAATTACGGAGTCCGGAATAGGGATAGACAACTAATGACAGAAGTTTTACTTCACTGAAGAGTGCCAAGCTGTATTTTCCACTTTTCACTCCTGTCTCTCATGAATGCAGTGTTCTGCTGTATCAACTTTGCTGCAATTGTCCAACTTTGTTTGTGGACCACACGGTTCAAGCTCAATTTTTCCTGACCTGGGTTAGATTTGAACTGAGAACTTGTGGGATGAGAGGACTTTATTAAAGGTTACAAGCCCAGAGAACACATTCTTTAGAAATGTCGTGTTCTGATGGACATTTTGAAGGAATTTGCCAACTTCAACTTCCCTGGAAATCGTTCCAAATTTCAATGTTGACAAGATGGGGCACCTTGCTGAGCGTTATCAGCGACGATGAATGGATGGGTTCTTCTCTCCAGCAATCCCCACCCCCCACAACTGCCAAAAATGTCAAAATCATCCAAAAGTAACAAAACAAAAAATAGTCATTTGGGCTTCAATGTTGGGTCACCATGAGCCATTCCCCTTACTCACCGGGAAAAGTACAATGGGTACTGTTAATGTGACTGCTATCAGTACAGCCAGACGGACGCACAACAGTAACACATCAAAATGGTATACTTTTGTGAAAGTATGAAGCAGCTCTGTTTCAACTTGTCCTGCACCAGAGGAGATAGGAAAAAGCACACAGTCACAATTTGGAAGCAAAGAGATAAACTGAGCAGCAAATAGTGGCACTTTCTTACAGTAGTTGGCATTTTGCAAGTTCCATTAATTGAAGCACTAGATTGATGGTGCATGCTTTGTTAATTAAAAAAAAAATTGGATTATCAAATTCAGCAGATTTTGCGTCAGCATTCCTTTTCTGACTCACCATAAAAGGTCAGGTACCCAAAAAGAGCAGCCAGGAGGTACATGATGAACATCGCAGCAATTGACACATTGGACACATGTTGCATTTTCTTTTGAGAGCGACTGAAAGGTAAGCAGAGTTGTTTTTTTTAAATTGTCTACATGCCAGACTTGCCAACACAGTGAAAGATATATTTTATTCCCCATTCTAAGACCTCCCTGGGCACTTGCAGAACATATGTTGGCAGAACTGCTCATGTGAAGTGGTATAAAAAACAGAAAATGCTCAGTATGGCAGCTACCATGGAGAGAGAAAGTTAACCTTTTCATGTCAAAGATCTTTCAACAGAACTCATCAGACCTGACTGATGGTTAACTCTGAGATTAGTTTATTTGCTCTCTCCCTATCACTGCAGACTATTTCAGCATTTTCAGTTTCTGTTTCAGTTTTCCCAGTTCCAGTTATTGTTTTTGTATGAAGGTCTAACTCCTCATAGGAGATGAAGGAAATATTTTTGATTCATTCACTTCGTGTGGGCATCACTGGCCAGGCCAGCATCTACTGGCCAACCTGAATTGCCTAGAGGATAGTTAAGAGTTAACCACATTACTGTGGGACTGGAGTCACGTGGTAAGGATGGTAGATTTCCTTCCCTAAAGGACATCAGTGAAACAGATGGGCTTTCCCCCAATAGTCAACATCACTTTCATGGTCATCATTAGACTCTTAATTTCCGATTTTTATTGAATATGTATTTCACCATCTGCCACGGGAGGATTACAAACCCAGTGCCCCAGATGGTTACTTGAGTTCCTAGATTAATAGTCTAGCAATAATAATTACTCGGCCATAACCTCACCATTAATTAACATTAAGAAGCCATAACTTCTTCAGTTTTCTCTTGAACAGAACATGGGGACGTATTCAAGATAGTCAAGGTCTTTTCCCCAGGGTAAGGGAGTCCAAAACTAGAGGGCATAGGTTTAAGGTGAGAGGGGAAAGATTTAAAAGGGACCTAAGGGGTAACTTTTTCATGCAGAGGGTGGTGCGTGTATGGAATGAGCTGCCAGAGGAAGTGGTGGAAGCTGGTACAATTACAACATTTAAAAGGCATCTGGATGGGTATATGACTAGGAAGGGGTGAGAGGGATATGGGCCAAATGCTGGCAAATGGGACTAGATTTATTTAGGATATCTGGTTGGTATGGATGAGTTGGACTGAAGGGTCTGTTTCCATGCTGTATATCTCTATGACTCTCCTCCCTTCAGGATTTAAACCTGCATTTTCGTAAGGGATATTTACTCATTGCAATGGTAAAGGACTGTGAGAAGCTCCTACCCTTTAAGTTCACTGTAGATTGGAAGTACCTCAGGATGGCACACAAACGAAAAGGCAAGAATGGGAATGGTGTACGCTGTCTGAAAGAGAAATGAAAAGAACCTCATGAGGTTCTGAACAATCATAGAGAGGAACTGTTGCCTCATGATAGTTAAAGTCTGACATACCTGTGAGTTGAATACCAGGTATTTTGGTTTACACATGTTAGCTTCAAAATGGGCTTCGTAACTGACCCCATTGGTGCGGATGAGAGCATGATCTTCATCTTCTGCTGCTGTGTGTCCATTAATGTAGGGCGTCATAAGGTTCAGTTCGTGATCAGCGGTTATGTTACGGATCACTGGATAATCAGTTATCCAGTGGCCTGTGGTGTTTGTCAATGCTGTGAAGTTTCCTAAGTGATGATCCAATCCAAGCAATGGGCAGGGAATCTGAAATTTCTTATATATGACCTGGAAGAATATTTCAGTAGGTTTATTTTAAAGTATGAATGTTTTGTGCTAAAATATACAGTACAAATATAGTTAAAGTGTGGAGCAATCCTCCGTATTACAAATAAAAATGGAATTACATGTGGGGGCCAGTAGCCATGGCTAAAAATTGGAGGAATGAGCCCATCTCCACCAGTTTGGGAATGATGATTAGATCAGAAACGATTTTCAGATTGAGTTCAGCTATTATTTCAAGTAGCCAGTGTCAAAGCATGAACCACCAAGGTGATTGTTTTTAAACAGTATGGACCTGATGGGCTGAAGGGCCTTTTTTGGTGCTGTAGACCTCTATGACTATGGGAGGAGGTCACTGGGAAGGTAGGTCTGTAATTACACGGTGGTAGGCTCCAGTGATGGGGCCAGGGATGCCAGGTTCATCACAGTGTGGCAATAGGGAAGACACAGGGCAGGGGCAACCACCTTGGAACCAGGAGGCTTCCACTAGGCAGAGGGTGCCTGGCCAGGAGCTCTTCCTTTCCCAAGCAGGCAATAAATCCATTAGGCAACACTAAGGCCTGACACCCACTGCCACAGCTTAAATCCCATTAGTGGCACAGTGGTTAGCACTGCTGGCTCACAGCACCAGAGACCCGGGTTCTATTCCAGCCTCAGGCGACTGTCTGTGCGGAGTTTGCACATTCTCCCCTTGGGTTACCTCCCATAGTCCAAAAATGTGCAGGTCGATTGGCCGTGCTAAATTGCCCATTGTGTCAATGGTGTGAAATGCAGGATAGGGTTGGGGTTGGGGTTGGGGTTGGGTGTGGGTGGGATGCTCTTCAGAGGGTCATTGTGCACTTGATGGGCTGAATGGCCTGCTGCCACACTGTAGGGATTCTATGATTCTATGAATAGAATCACCTGACAGTCTCAATTAGTCCACAGACTAGCTGCTCAACACCCTTATCACTGTGGATAAAATTCCGCAGAATACCGGATAGCAATATTCATTTGTGTAACCCCTTTATCATCGGGGACAGATAAACAGTGTGCTTTCTGCAGACGTCTCCCATGGTTTACATGATAATCTCTTCCAGGCAGAGAATCCCAGTGCAAGGAGAAACCCTCTTTCCTGCCTGGCACGGTTCATCCGAAAAACTGGTTACAAATTATGAGTGGGAGACATTGAACCTAGACAGTTATACTGAGCTTGGCATGCTATTGTTCTAAACTGCAATTCACAAGGATTTCATAGAACCATACAGTGCAGAAGAGGTCCTTTGACACATTAGGTCTGCACTGTTAAAAAACTAAATCAACATTAGTTCCACGTTCCAGCAGTTATTGTTCCCTATGGTCACTATTTATAGGAGCCTCGTCTATTTTGCTGCCGTTGATGCAGGCTTTGAGGATCGGTTAGCTCAGTAGGCTGGATGGCTGGTTTGCAATGCAGAGTTACACCCACAGCATGGGTTCAATTCCTGCAATAGCTGAGGTTGCCAGAGAAGGGCTCCCTTTCTCAATCTCTCTACACATCTGAATCATGGTGCCCCTCAAGTCAAACGTCCACCAGTTGTCTCTCTGTAATGAGACAGCCACCCTGTGGGGGTCCAGTAGGATTATGGTGACTTGACCTTTATTATACATTCCTGCTTTTTATCACATACCCTATCACAAAGGGCTGGGCCTCTTCTGGAACAGACCTTAAACTGACATGAATTGGCAGATTGCTTGTCACTCTGCTTCCAGAAGAGAACCTGCCCATTCTATAACTCGCCTTGGTTTACTGTATAAGGTACTCAGTGCATACTTACAACACAAACGAAGAAAACCATACAAGAGAGAGAAAATCCACTTGTGTAACCAAGGTACCCTGTACAGGGAGAATCAAAATAAGTGATTGGAAGTTTTTTTTTATTGCTTCCATGACAATACCAACCATATTTGAAAAAGAATGCCTGAGTGTATGGTTAGTGAACAATGTGATTATGCCACTAAAATAACACAAATTATCAGTCATTTCTGAGCAAGTTCAATGGGTTATGTTATATAAATAGAATTACAGAGAACATACAGCATTTATTCATACCTTCTCCTACCCATCCTCATCCATTCCCTCCTCTCGCTCATGCTTATTTAGTCTTAAGCTTACAAAGGTGAAGGAGCAGTGCTTCGAAAGCTTGTGATTTCAAATAAGCCTGTTGGACTATAACCTGGTGTCATGTGACTTCTGACTATATTCACCCCAGTCCAACAACGGCACCTCTACATCATATTTAGCCTTTACTTAGATGCATCTATTGTATTTACCTCAATTATTCAACTATTGTGGTAGTGAGTTCCATATTCTCACCACAAACTGAGTAAAGAACTTTTTCTGAATTCCTCACCTGGTTGCTGCTAATTTTCCTGTTCCCACAAGTTAGAAGTGCTCCCTCCGTATTTACACTGTCAAAATCTTTTAAAGACCTCCATTAACCCACCCCCTCAGCCTTCTCTCTTCAAGAGAACAGAGACTGAGCCTGCAATCCTATTGCCATGCTCTTGATAATTGCTGCAAATTTGTTAAAACAGATCTTGAAACTGAAAATATATTTTGATACACAAAAATAAATCAAAGGACTGTGGATGCTGGAGAAACTCAGCAGGTCTGGCAGCATCTGTGGAGAGAAGGCAGAGTCAACAGAATCCAGTGACCCTGCTTCAAAATATATTTTGATACTTCTTTCTACTGGGACAAACTATAATAACTGGACAAGTGCAACTTCTGTGCTTTTATTATGTACTATCATTGGACAACAAGGTCTGTATTCTCAACAAAATGTTAATGTGTGCAGAGCAACATGCAAAAGTTAACTTTAAACATGTATTTACAGACGAGAAGCAGTAATTTTGAAATCCTGGGATAAAAAAAGGGACCTCTCTAAATTATTTGAGACCTATTCTTTCTGATGCTTCATTTCAATCGCAACATCTCAGAAAGACACTTAAATCAGATTCTGTTAACACAGTGCTCACAAGTTAATTTAGTTTAATTTAGCATTCCATTTGGTGCTGTCAGTACAAACTGCAGAAATAGAATCAGAGACCATACAGGTATATTGTACAGGAGTTATAACCTACCTAAATTCTTGAGAAATGTGAGAGGCAGAATAATGCATAGCGACACAAGTACAACAAGGTAGTTGCCATTTGTATACCACACTCTGGAACAGAAAATTTATTTGCATCAAAAACAAGGCAAAAGATCAAGCAATGTTGTCATGCTTCAAGTTCAAATTGCTTTATACCTTTCCTCCATGAATGCATCGCAAATGCCAACATAAAAACACTCTGCACAGATCCCATGACAAAAGTATTCAGAGTAGATAACAATTTCGCAGGTTAAATATTTTGGTTGCTATTTACGACTTGAAACTGGGTGTTGCCTTATTCATACATAGGTCATTGTGGTGCATGGCACTGTGTCAGATCCTGGGTTGTACACTCTGCCTGCCAATAGCTTGATTCTGCTCTTGTTCTAGTCTGAACTCAACAACTAAGGCAACTGGCCCAGGTGGAGTCCCTGGCTGTGCACTCAAATCGCGTGCGGAGCTGCCTGGAGTATTTGCAGACATCTTTAACGCTCCTTACTTCGATCTGAAGCCTGCCTCTCCCCCACCAACCCCCCAACCGTTTCAAGAAGACCACCATCATCCAGGTGGCAAAGTAACATTATGCAGTGTGCCTCAATGACCTTCATAATTATGAAGTGCTTTGAGATGTTAGTCATGGCTCACATCAACTCCAGCCTACTAAATTGCCTTGATCCTTTGCAATTTGCCTACCGGTGCAATAGGTCCAAAGTAGACACCATCTCCCTGACCCTACACTCAACTCTGGAACATCTGGATAACAAGGATACCTATATCAGGCTCCTACTTATTGACTACAGCTCATCCTTCAAGACCACAATTCCAAACAAACTCATTTCCAAACTCTGAGACCTAGGTCTCGGCTCCCCGCTCTGTAACTGGATCCTCGACTTCCTGACCCATAAACCGCAAATCAGTAAGGATAGGCGACAACACCTCCTCCACCATAATCCTCAACACCGGTACCCCACAAGGCTGTGCAAACTGCCCCCTACTGTACTCCCTACACACTTACAAGTGTGTGGCCAAATTCTGCCCCAATTCCTTTACATGTTTGCTGATGACACCACCGTTGTAGGGCAGATCTCAGACAATGATGAGACATGTTGTAAAGACAACAATCTCTTCATCAATGTCAGCAAAACTAAGGAGCTGGTCATTGACTTCAGGAAGCAGAGTGGAGGGCACACCCCTGTCTGTATCAATGGTGCTGAGGTGGAGGTGGTCGAGAGAGTCAAGTCCCTGGTAGTGACGATCACCAACAATCCGTCCTGGTCCATCCACATCGACGCGATGGTCAAGAAGGCACAACAACATCTCTACTTGCTCAGGAGGTTAAGGAAATTCTAATCGATTTTAATAGAATGGTGTCATAGAATAGATTATCCTTTGTTGTCATGTGGATTCAATATATAACACAGTGAAGAGTGAGTACTGTCGCTATACGAAGGCACCATTCACATTAATTTAGAATAAAATAGAAAAGAGAAAGTCCAACATTTCCTTCTCTGCTGCTACAGCCCATGCCAGGGGCCCACTCCATGCGGAAGCAAGTGTCCGACTCCAGGCTTCTCAGGTGAGCTGACTGACACTGTAACCACGCTGCCTCTGAAGACGCCACTGCTGTTCCGGAGCCCATCGAAGCTGCCTCCTGCCAAAGAGCTTCCTTTATCAGTTAAGTTGGAGAAAAGAAAAGGGGAAGAAAGGAAAAAGAAAAAGAAAAAAATACAGACGAAGGCGACAAGCCCAGCCAAGGGAGCCCACATGCTACCTACTCCGCTGCTGCCATCTTATCCATAAATACGCACAGAAACCCACAGCAACTGCTCTGCCCAAGACCACAGAATCGTGAACACAGTCCATGCCATCACGCAAACCAACCTTCCATCCAATGACTCCATCTATATTTCTCACTGCTTCAGGAAAGCAACCAACATACTCAAAGACCCCCTCCTACACCGGTTATAGTCTCTTCCACCATCTTCCGTTGGGCAGAAGATATAAAAGTTTGAATACACGTACAAACAGATTCAAGGACAGCTTCTTCACCGCTGTTATCAGACTTTTGAATGGACCTCTCAAATGTTAAATGTTGATCTCTCTCTGCACCTTCTCTGTGGCTGTCACACTATGCTCTGCACTCTGTTCTGCTACCCTCCCACACTTTGTATGGCACAATCTGCAATGTAAAGCATGCAAAACAACACTTTTCACTGTATTTCAGTACATGTGACAACAATAAATCAAATAAAATCGACTCTGCTCACATCACTGCAGCTTCCAGTCTCCCACTTAGGATTCTATTTCCCAATGTTCTATCCCTGGCCATACAAAACAGCGGAATCAAACAGGACCGTCTTCATGCAATGCATGAAACTTATCAGTCTCCACGTATAGAACAGCAGAAAAGTTACAGCACTGGAAAAGGCCATTGAAGCCATCATGAGTGTGCTGGAAGAATAAACCAGCCACCTATTCCAATCCTACTTTCTAGCACCTGGTCTGTTGTTTTGCAGGCTACTGTGTTTTAGGTGCAGATCCAGATTGCTCTCAAACAGCGCAGTGAATTCCAGCCATCCACTACCTTCTGAGCAAAAACTTTTCCTTGTGTCTCTTCCATTTTATAGAGTCATTGAATCATGCAGCATAGAATCAGGCCCTTCGGCCCACCGTGACTATGCCCACAAACAAACACCAACCTACACTAATCCCATTGACCTGCACTTTGCCCATAGCCTAGTATGGCCTGCCATTTTAAGTATTATCCAGATGCTTGTTACATATTGTGAGAGTACCTGCCTCCACCTCCCTCTCAGGCAGCATGTCCCACATACCTCTTGTGAAAACATTTACTCCCCACCTTTAACTTATGCCCTCTGATCTTAGACACATCTGCCACTGTGAAAAGATTCTCGTGACCTACTAAGTCAATGCCTCTCAAAATTTTGCATCCCTCAGTCAGAACCACCACCCCCCTACCCCCTCAGTCTCCTCTGCTCCAAGGAAAACAAACCCAGCCTGCACAGTCCCTCCTCATAACTAAGACTTTCCATCTGAGGCAACATCCTGGTGAATCTCTTCTGCACCCTCTCCAGTATAATCACATCCTTCCAATAGTGTGTCGACCAGAACTGCACACAGTACTCCAACGGTGACCTAACCAATGTTGTATAAAGTTGTAACAAAGCTTCCTTGCACCTATATTCTATGCCCTGGCTAATGAAGGCAAGTATCCCATATCCCTACTTCACCACCTTGTCTACCTATGTTGACACCTTTAGCACCCCAAGTTCCCTTTGTTCCTCAGAACTCTCTAGGGACCTGCCATTCATTGTGTATGTCCTTCCCTATTTAGACTCCCCAAAATCCTACCTCACATTAAATTCCCTCTGCCATTGCTCTGGCGAATTTACCAGCTGATCGTTATCAGACTGTAGCCTGAGACTACCCTCCTCACTATGAGCAACACCACCAAGTCTTGTTTGTCTTAATTGGAGAGTAGATAATATTCTTATAACTGAATATTGTAATATAAAATTTTTAATCAAACATTGTACTTATGGAAAATAACAGCATTCTAACCCATACACAATGTATAATAATCAATATTCATAATACTTGTCCTAAATTTAAATGGTTTTCGTTCCACTAATAGTACCCACCTGAGCAATTCAAAGCTTTCCAGAGTTGTAAGTCCTAATAGCAAATTAATGATGCAAAGTCCACACATATGAATCTCAGTTGGGGTTTGACTAGAACCTCTCACTGCTGACTAATTTATTAAATTCTCACAGTCAGGATTGGCAAATGTAAAAACCATTAAGGCTGATGCTACTGAAATAAGAGTCGAAATAATGTTATTATAGATAGTAATTGTTTGAGGAATTCACTGTTTGAGCCTCTCCATTAAATCAAGCCGCCCACCAGATTCCTGGAATTGGTGTTTTATTGAATAAACTCCTAAGAAACACACAATGGAAACTGACAGGCAAGACAGAGGCAGCAACTGGGAATTTTCAGAGGATAAAATGACAGGGAGGCTGCTTTTCCAAATTAGCAGGTGCATATATGGAGGGAAGCCAAGGAACTAAATGTAAACCAAGAATCTCCTGCTGAAGTTATGTTGGGGAATTGTTGGGAAAATTCCTGGTAGAAGATTTCATCAGAAGGCAACTGAGCTGTGAAACCTTGCTTGTGATTATGAACAAGAACCACGGAAAGACTTTGATCATCAACTTTGGTAGAAGCTAGTCAAAATTTGAAACTGAAAGTTGTATGGGACCAGTACTCACTCTCAACACAACTAATGTTCTATACAGAGATAGCAGGAACTGTAGATGCTGGAGTCAGAAATAACACTGTGTGGAGCTGGAGGAACACAGCAGGCCAGGCAGCATCAGAGGAGCAGGAAAGTTG